AATAATTAAATAGTGAATAAATCATGAGTTTAAGTAACATTTTTAAAGTAAATTTGAAGAAAAGATGGACATGGAATGTTTACAGTCAGTCAATCAACCAACCGGGAAATGTTACTCAATCAGCAATTAAAAACTTTTTGCAACATAAAGTATGACACATTCGCGCATGGAATTTCTCGATGAAAAATTGTAAAAGAAAATAATGATGAAACATTAAAAAACATGAAAAACTGAAAGAAAATATAAAAAAATTTATTAAAAACGTCATTGTAAGGCACTGCGTGAACGCACTCAACGTATAAAAATATACTAAAAAATTGGGAAAACTGAAAAAATAAAAAAATAAAATAATTACATTTTATTAAAGTCTTATAAGAAAGGCTGGATAAAATTTTTAAAAAAATATTTTTTAATTAGAAAATTGATAAAAATTTCGTTTATCATTGTATTTAAAAATTATTTTTATAATTAAGCTTCAACGAGATTTTAAAAAATTTAAGAAAATTTACAAATTTTTTCTCAAACAATTTTTATTTGTTAATTAATTCGAAACACTCCAATAGAAAACAATTAAAGACTAATTAATTTTATCGAATGGTCCTTATATAAATGACTTTTTTTCCATTATAAAAGTTTTAATTAATTTAATTAATTAACTATATTAGCATTAACATCTTATAACAAAGTACTTGGTTATAGTTTTCTTACTGTTAACAAATGTTATTGAAGTTGTACGTTATAGACACCCATTAAATTATAACAGCAGCAACTAGCAGGTTTTTACTTATTTACTATTGACACCATAATTACACTTTTTTTACTTCTGCTAACTTCTACTACTCCTGTAACCAAATAACTAAAGTTATTAGTATTTATACTAGTTTCAGAAGTTTCGACAACAACACACGCATCACATACAATGCAGGCCGCACAGCAGTGGCGGGGTTGGTTCTCCAAAGTTTGGTGCAAGTCAAGACATTACGCCGCAATCTTCTACTTTCTCCTTCCACTCTTACTACCACTGTTATTAATATTACTGCTGCTGAACTGCGGCACTCTACTGACGCTTCTGTTGTTACTTCTAAAGCTACTACTACAGATGCAGCATTTGTTATTTAATTCCAATTACTACTATTAACACTAGATCTATTGTTATTACTATACTTATTACTACTACCCTGATAGCACATTCAACATTACCGTTACTGGGTTACTATATTTCTACTTTTAGTTATTATTATGAATTACAAAATACTCGGCAGTAACGAAACAATATTCATTCATTCATTTGTTCGTTCGTTCGTTTGTTCGTTCATTCATTTGTTCGTTCGTTCATTCATTCATTCATCCATCCATTCATTTATTCACACAATGAACATCTCGATGTTCCGATTACCGAATGACTTCCGGTTATGCTCCGATATCGCCCTCTCGGCTTCTGGCCTGCTGGCGAATGTGACGTAAGCGTCGCCACACGTTCTGCCGTCCTGATTGCAGATTACCTGAACGTCTGGAATGATCTGGCGGATGAAAAGTTTTTATTTAAAGTCTTGCGTGTGGATTCACACTGATTAACATTAGCATTAATATGGGTAAGCAGGAAGTACACAATTACAACGTTGCTGTTGCTTACACGTCGTAAACTGAAAAATTACGACTAATATGATCATTCAACGAGATTAACAGACCTCATATTGCCCTTCAAGGAAACTGATGATATCATGCTGTTGGACGTTGGACGGCAGGTTCTTGATGGCCACTGTGGTTGGGTAGCCAGGCACGTAGTAGGCGTTTGTTGGACTCGCTGGACACCTATGTGAAGGGGTGTGTTGTTTTCGGCGTGTAAGATGTGTTTGTATGTGTCTGAAATGAGGTAAAATGCTATCCTTATTTATTAATATATTTAATTAAGCCTTTCACTTGTATCTAAATTTTTTATCTAAATTGTTCGCCAAACGATTGAAGTTTAGTTTTAGGAACACTTTTAACCAGTGCAGGCATAAATCACCAGCATCAGAGTTGAACTTCTCAAATTATAAATTAAAAACTTGAACAAAACTATCGAAAGAATTTAAATAGTAAAAGAGGGCAGCCCTCTGACGAACCAGTAGACAATGGGCTGCAGACCAGTCAGTGCTATCGGTTGCCTGCAAGCGTTTGCAGCCGATGCCACTGGGACAAGAGCTCCAACTGGAGGCGGGTTGATGTTGGGTTGAATTGTGGGTAATGCCGTCAGGGGAGGTTGAGGTGTTGAGGGTTGGAACTGGAGAGGCGGCTGGTGGAAAGCGTAGATGTTTGCCGGAGCTGGGTTGTAGACGATCGTTGTTGCGTCTGGCAATCATTTATTATAATTTTGATGTTGGACTATTTTTCAAAAATATAAAACAGTGTATTATTTACAAACTGCTGAAAAATTAACTTTTATTTGGAACATCATAAATTTTGTTACTAAAGTTAATGATGGGGAACTACAAAACCAGGATAGTTACCAGGAGCGACGAATGACTGACTGACCGGTCCTGCTTGTGCCATGATCTGGCGATTGTTGGAAAGCACTTGTTGATTGGCTGGAGGCAGCATGGGTGGTGGCACGTTGGTCGGTATGATGAAGGGTAGGTTCAAGGTCGGTGCCGAAACGGCGCTGGTCAGCCGCGGTGGGAGCATGGAAGGCAGGCCGCTGTTCAGCAGTAGGTTCATTTCGTCTCCGGAGCACTGGATCACTTCGATGTAATTTTTCCTGCCTCCCTGCGTGTACATCACTTTTTTATTTTTAGCCAGTGACGTAATTTCCGCTGATTGCTCCCCGTCCATTTGTATGAAGGCTTCTCCCGAAGGCATGCCCTGTTTGCGAACGATGGTGTTTTATTTCTGACTTCTATTAAATTTCTTCAACACGAATTTGTTATTAATAGCTTAACTGTTAACGTTACAATCAAACAAATAACATCATCAAAATTGGTTTAAAAATTTTAAATATATTAAATAAATAAATTTAATTATTTGATTCAATAGCAAGGACATCTACCCTCGAGTTGTAGACCATATGCACCCCCTGGTACACGATGTACTTGCTGTTCTCACCCAAGAATGTCAGCACATCGGACACGTGGGCATCCGTGGGGAGGCCTCTGATCCGGAGGCAGTCTCTCTTGGTGCCACTGGTGATGATTTGTTGATGGGACGTTGGTTGTAGGAGGAAAGAATTGGCTGGGTGGATTGCAGCTGGGAATGTTATGATCTGAGGAAAGTGTTCCAATGTAGTGATGTCTATGCATTCTTGCAGGGTGGTCGTCTGGCTGATGTTTGCTCGCGGATCCAAACTGCGATTCAAAACCTGATTCAATTGTTTACAATTGTTTTATTCAAAAATTCTTCAGAAATTATATTTCGCAAAAACAATTCTCAGAAAAATGGAAAAGTTTAATTTGTCAACCGACCTGTTGAACCTCGGCCGTGGTGCTCTTGAAGAGTTCAATGTACCTGGTGCCGATGCACTGCCTGTGCTTTGAGAGAGCAAGATCGGCTTCAGACTCGCTGGAGAAGAGGACGAAGGCGTCTCCAGTGGATCTCCCATCGGCCTGGTGCACAAACAGGACTCCATCCTCACCATCCAACACGTCTGCAGGGTTTGGTTCCTGCTTGAAGAAGTTCAACTGAATGGAGGGTGTGGGTTGTGCGTTTTGTGGCTTTATCAGGATGACGATTGAAGTTTTTATTCGCATTCTGATTGGGTTCTCAGTTTTGATTGGAAGTCACACAAAGCATGGTTGCGAGGTTGTCAATAATTGAATTGAGCGTTCCCATGAAAACTGACACAATGTTTGTACTTATAAAAATGCATCTAAGAGAAGATAGTAATGATAATAAATACATATCATCCACAGATTCATAGATAGCTAGTTAGCAGTCTGAAATCGATAAACACGAAAAAAATCGAAAATTTAAAATAGTTCGCCAGTGATTAGTGCAGAGTGTTTTAATGATTGTTTTATTCAATAGGCTGCCTATAAAATATTCATGCTCCTATTTTGATCTCATATTATTGATGCAAATAATGTTCAAGTTCAAATCATTAACTAAACATTTAGTTTCTTATTTTGAGTAAGATAACTACTTACGATTTCGTTTATTTCTTGTAACATTGAGTTGTGTGCGTATGTAAATAATTTAAATTTAAAAATAAATAAAAACCAAATAAAAACCATCAGCTCTGAATGAAAATAAAAAACGCCTTCCATTAATAATTTCAAGTAAATCTTCACAATGCAGATGTAAATTTTAATAAATCAAAACAAATGATCGTACAATTTCAAACGTGCCAACAAGCATTCACATAAAACCAGCACGTACATGCACGAACAAACACAACATACAAAATAAACATACGAAAACAAAATACAAGTTTGTATATAAAAATAAGCGTGTATTACTATTTCCTTAATACCGCAACCAACAAATGTATAACTTTTAAAAATTAATATCCTGATCTACCTCAAATTTCCTCAACGCTTACTGAGATCTGTTTTTCAAGAGTGTTTTTGCATTAATAATCATGATAATTTGCATGATGATAATTTCAAATTTGAAACAAAATAAAATATACTGGCAACCCATTAAGTAATAAAAGATGATGATGACGATGAAAGATGTTTTTCCCAAACAACCCCCTAATACAACCTAGCCATAATTTAAACCATCAGCCATTAAAATTTTATACTTAAATTATAAAAACTTATCCTTGCCAAATGTGGAAAGATTGGCCTTCACTTGGTCTTTTAGTCAAATTCATCTAAACTGTGTGGTCAGTTAAATTTTTGCACCAGATATTAAAATAATACTAGTTGTTTGAATTTAACAACATCAGATATGCAGTTTATAACTCGTTTTTAAGCAATCATTTAACTTCATCTTATCACAAATCAATTGTACAAGGCTTCAATGTGAATATGAAAACGCTACTGCTGTACTGATCATTACACAACCACGCACACATTCCATCCATTGTTCATCCATTCCATTACAATACAGCAGCTGTCCTGATGATAACCGAAAAATTTTCATTTACATTTCAACTCTGTTTTTTTACCGTTGCTTCAATCAACATAGCATTGAATGCAACTTGGAATGATTCGATGATATTAATCCGCAACTCTTTATAACACTTGTAAATAGGTGAAGTTATGATGACTTTGTACGGTACCTACATATATATATTCATCTCGGTGAGATATTGACCAACAATCAATGGTTATAGTTGTTTTTAGAAATTTAATATTATAAGCATAAACTGATCAAATTTATTTAATTCTAAATGTTTCAGTAAAAAATGCTTGAACCTTTATGGATTAATATTGAAAAAATATTCAACAAAGACAGTGCAAACGGTTGCCGGCAGGTGTTTGTTCGTGCAGGCTGGCTCACTCACGTTCTCAATTTGCATATTTACATTTAAATAACTGTTTCAGAAATTTTCAAACAAAAAAAATGATGAAAAAACCTTCTGAAAACACTAATGTACCATTTTTAAATAAATTATCCTTAGTGAATTCGTTTTTTAATGGCCATAGACGAGGTACATTGTATGATTATAAACTTACTATAGATACCAAAGAATAAATATATCACTTTATTAATAATATTTGTTATTTGTATTCAATCTCAAAATTTCACAATTAGTGTCAAGAATTTTGTTAAAAAATAACGACGATAAAAAATAAAATTTCAAAGACGAACCACTTGTTCTGCCTTGCATATGTAGGGCAGACCTCGCATACGCACGATGATCTGGCTTCCTCCATCACCGTGTCTTGAGAGGAACTCTTGCGCTTCTGTACTGTTTCCTATTGATTTTAATTTCATTGTTTCTTAAATTTAGTATGCAGTTTGTAAAATTTTAAAAACTTAAAAAATCAATCCTTAATTAGTTGGATTAAGGTTTGCCGCAACAAATGCTATAACGTTCAAATTACACGTCGTATGTTACATTTAAAAACGTGTTTGTGTGTGTGTGTGTGCGTGTGCGTGTGTGTGTGTGAGCAAGAATCTCATTCGAAACATTGGTGGGTGTATGTTAGTTTCTAAGTTTCGAGCGGCACTTAAAACAGGTTGACACAGCAATGCTTGACATAGATGGCACTCCTATCGTTTGAGTTAATTTTGTAAGTCTTGTCAAACGATAGATGCACGTCTAAATATTGTGATTTATCCCCTGTATTACATGAACAAAATTATTTGGTTATTTGCTGTTTTGTTTTCATAATCTACTAAAAAACATTTAAAATATTTAAACGCCATTTAATAAAAAATTTCAAGAAATAATTTTTAAATTCATTCTCTCGGAACAGCGTACCTCCGGCAACTGCAATAAAATCTTCGCCAGATGCTTTGTAGACCTCAATGTACCTCTGCCCGATGTGGTGTTTGTGCTTTCTCAGGGCCAGGTCCCTATGCTCCTTGCTCTCGAATCGTATGAGGGCCTCTCCGTTTCGACGACCTTGTGGACTCAGGCAGAGGGCTACACCACCCCTGGTTTTGTTTTCAAGAAATTAGCAAGAAAAGTTGAGATTGGTGTTTGTGTTGTTTGCACGTGATTCGAGTTGTGAAGAAGGCAGCGTGTGACAGATAGAAATTGAATATTTCAATAGTTACTTCTAAACCAAGTTTGGCAGTGGCTCCGATTACTATCATCATCATTATCATCATCACCATTACCATCATCATCACTGCTACCACTAACATCGTCTTCATCGTCACCATCATCATCAACAACAACGAAATCATCATCACTACCGCTATGATAACTCACTTTTCGACATTGAGGCCTCTGAAAAACCTGGCGATGTCCTGATCGGATGACTGCCAGGGCAGACCACGTGCCCTCACTACCGTGTCGTCATCCACAACTTCATCTTTCCCACTGAAGATGATGATGATGTTGATGACGATGATGTTGGCGATGATGTTGATGATGATGTTGTTGGTGATGAAGATGATGATGTTGTTGTTGATGATGTTGTTAGCGATGATGATAATGATGATGTTGTTGATGATGATGTTGTTGTGGTTGTTGTTGATGATGTTGTTGGTGATGATGATAATGATGATGTTGATGCTGATGATGTTGTTGTAGTAGTTGTTGATAATGATGACGATGCTGCTGATGATGATGGTAGCATCATACAGGCACATACAATCGCAACAGCATATCGATCTTAGTTTAATCTTTAAAGAATTCAAATCAATGAATATTCATGCCCATAATTACTTATTTAAATGCGCACACACACCACAACACAAACACACACTCACACATACGCACGCTCACACACGCACACACACACACACACACACACACACACACGGGTAAATTGAACACCTGTTCTACCTGGACAACTATTCAAGTGCTATGCTCTCGATATGATTATGTAAATGTATGTGTATTCATGTATGTGTATTTGTTTGTATGAATGTATGTATGTTTGAAAGTATGTCTTTTTACATATATGTATGAGCATCAATGTGTATGTTTCTGCTATGTACATGGTTTTATGTTTTTGTATGCCTATATACGTCTTCATATTTGTAATCATGACGTGTTATATGACGTCAAGAGTTGATCATCTATGAATATAATTAATCACCCAGCTTAATTGTTAAGTGTGACATTTTGCGGCGTTGTTCATTTTTGTCATCGTTGTTGTTGTTGTTGTTTCTATTGTGGTTAACGCCATTTCAGTCGCTAGAGCTATTTATCTTTATTTAGATGTCTGATGTCGCTGTTGTTGTTGTAGTGGTTGATGACGATGTTGTTGTTGTTGTTGTTACTGTTGTTGTTGTTGCTGTTGTTAATGTCAATGTTATCATCATTTTTATCATTATAATATAACAATGATGAATGATGGCAGTTTCGATCTGATATATTTACACGAAGCCGGCTGATGATTAACACATGTTTGATAGCGTTTGTTTGTTTGTTTTTATTTGCACTGTTTTGTATCTGCGCTAGCGAGTTTTTTATGTGTACGTTTGTGTAAATGTGTGTTCGTATATGTGTGTTTGTATGTGTATTTTGTATGTATGAAACTCATGTATGCAAATTTCTACAATTACATGAACACTATTTTTATATTTTCATGCTTAACTGTATTATTGTGATTTTGGGAACAGTGTAAGTTTCTCATCGTCATCATCATCCTCCTCATCATTATCATCATCATCATCATTCTCATCATCCTCATCATCATCGTCATAATCGTCATCACCTGTTGCAGCAGTAGCAGAAACATCATTATCATCATTATCGTCGTCGTCGTCATCATCCTCCTCACAATTGTCACCGTTATTTTTTGGGCTATTACGTCAACGTCAGTGTCGTCATCATCTTCAGTTCCATCATCACCATCATCATCATCACCACATCATTCACCGGATATTTATCAACAATGAAACTGAGAATCATCGAGAAACGTGATGAAATGGAAGATGAAGGAGGAGGGGGATATTAGAAGATCGTAAATGTACAAAGGTAACGTGAATAAATTGGCGGAAGTTATGTATTTGTTGCGTTTCTTTTATTAATGGTTTAATTGCTGGATATATTCATGTTTTGTTTACAAACGAAAAGAAGAAAAAAGAGAGAGGAAGAGAAAGAAAGTGAACGAAAGAGAAAAAAATATCCAAATGGACAAATTAGGAAGAGAAAGAAACTGAAAAAAAAAAGAAAAGAGAAGATGAACAAAAAAAATAAATAACGAAAAAGAGAGAGAGTAAGATAGATAGATAGATAGATAGATAGATAGATAGATAGAGAGAAAGAGAGAGAGAGAAATCTAATTGACTCGATCGAAACGTCAAGACACATTTTTACATCCAATCGATCGTCAATTTAATTACTGTCAATAAATCAGCTCATAGTAAATGTTCCAATGGGAATGTTTCCTGGATTGTTATCATCATCGTCATCATCATCGTTGTCGTCGTCATCAACATCGTCATCATCAACAACTATCAACTTCACTATCATCATTATTTCACCCACTGCCATCTTCATCATCATCTCATGGCGATGCTATCATCCAATTATCATACCGATATAAATATAAATCCAAATATTTATATACCACCACCACGACCTACCAAACTCCAGGCTCCAGTTTGTCCTTGATGTACTCGGACTCCAAAAATAGGTGACCTATTTGCATATTCAACAATGTGTAATGTGACCCAATTACATTAACATTACATTACACAAAATTACATTATATCATATTGCATTAACGTTATGTTACATTAACATTATGCAAACATCAGTTACACACACACATATATCTATAAACAAAAGTAAAAAATATATACAAGCTTATAAATATACTAATACATACAAGATTTACAAAGCACGTACAAACTTCAACACTTCCAAAGACATACAAAACTCAGATGCATACAAACTTTAACACATACAAACACATACAAAACTGAGATACAAGCAAATATACAAACATACCTTGGGCAACCATCTTATGTATGATCAGAGCCATCTCCTTACATTGCCTCATGCCGTATTGAGGTTCATCAACTTTCTCTAAACCGGATACTGTTGTTGTATGTGTGTTTGTATGTTTGTATGTATGTCTGCGTTTTATAGGTTTGTTTGTATGTTTGCATGTAGGTTTGTTTGTGTTGTTTATGTATGTTTGTATGTATGGTGATATACAAAGTTTTTAAAATTTTCAAAAGGTAAATTTGTACATTAACTGAAACTTTGTATGATGAGTGTTCATGTTCATACAATAAATAAAATTTACAAATAATATTTGTCTATTTATTTGATCAACATTCAATTTTTATGTTTGTTCTTTTTCGTGATTTTGTCTTCATTTCCATTTCCTCTCTATACACGCACACATGTATGAAACCGCCCACACATACACGCACACACACACACAAACACACACAATTTGACAAAGTATGCAAATAAAATTTACACCACACATCACACAAA